CAGGTGCCCAAAGTCTTTGAGTTTCCTCTTCAGGATCTGGCCTTCTAAAGAGCATCCAGGGTTGATCTCCTCTAGGACTGACCGGTTGGATGGCCTTGCAGTCCAAGGGACTCAATGCAGGAGTCTTCTTCTCCAGCGCCAGAGTTCAAAGGCCTCCATTCTTCAGCCTTCCTTATGGTCCAACCTTCACAGCCATCCATGACAACTGGGAAAACCACAGCCTTGGCTAGATGCCCTTGTGTTGCCAGGGGGATGTCTCTGCTTTTTAGGATGCTGTCTAGATTTGCCATCTGAGAGGCCATATAATATATATAGCATGGCTTCTTAATATTGAAGGGAGGGCTATGAAGCGTATGGTTACCAAAGATAAAACAAATAACTGAGCAAGCGAAGAGAGACAGGAGAAAATATGCAGAGAGCAAGCAAGGCACTGGCTCAACCCCCCACTTTCTTGGAAATTGCCAATGGAAACGCAATCCTAAACTCAGAAAGACATTAAGAGCAACCTCCTTACATACAGATGTTGATACTTTGGGAAAAATTGCAAAGAAGAACAACGGAGATGATTAAAGGCCTGGAGACTAAAGCATAGGGAGAACGGTTGCAGGACTTGGGTCTGGCCAATCTAGAGGAAAGAAGGAGTAGAGGGGGGCATGAGAGCCGTCTCCCAATATTTGAGGGGCTGCCACAAAGAAGAAGAAGAGGAGGTCAAACTATTCTCCAAAGCACCAGAAGGCACGACAAGAAGCTATGGGTGGAAATTAATCAAGGAGAGAAGCAACCTAGAGCTCAGAAGAAACTTCCTAACAGTGAGGACAATTCACCAGTGGAACAGAAGTTGCCTTCAGACGTTGTGGGAGCTTCATCACTGGAGGTTTTGAAGAAGAGACGGAACAGCGGCCTGTCTGAAATGACAGAGGCACAGAATAGATGGGGGCGGGGCCAGCCAGAGGTGGTATTTGCCGGTTCTCTGAACTACTCAAAATTTCTGCTGCCGGTTCTCCCCTGCTGAATTTCACCCCTGGTTCTCCTGCTTGAGCAGGGAGCTGGACTAGAAGACCTCCAAGGTCCCTTCCAGCTCTACTCTGATGGATTGATTGAATTGTTAACACCAACCCAAGCCTGCCCAACATTACCATCTGCAGCTGTCAAAGCAATCACATTCTTGGACAGTCGTTCTCCAGGTTGATCGTTAACTAGAAAGGACCCAAGGACTGGAGCTGAATTGCTCTCCTGATGCGTTTTTCAGCCCCCATTAAGGGCTGGGCTGCTGGAGTGTGAAACTAGGCCATGATTTGCCTTCAGCTATCAGGTTGAGTCACGCTAACCGCTGAGCAAAAAAAAATTAAATAAATACTGCTCCGCTGTTGAGAAGGGTCAGCTGTGCTTTTTTATGAGGAAGTTCCGGTGATCGAACGTTGCTCAGGCCTAAATGACCCTTCCCATTAGGGAGCTCCGGGTTCTTAAAACCAGCCACGCCAATCGCCTTCTATACATATATATGTAAATGGCTCTGTGTGTGTATGTGTGTGTCTTCTCTTCCATTCCATTACTCTTCTCTTCTTTTCTCTTCCCTTCCCTTATTCTACTCTATTCTACACTACTCTACACTACTCTTCACTTCTCTTCCTCTACTCTACTATACTCTACTCTNTTTTGGGGCCGTTTTCAGTCCATTTTTCGGGCTGTTTTTGACTCAAAAAATGGCCGGGAAACACTCCCCAAACAGCCTGAAAACAGCCCAGAAAAGTTGCCAAGTTTGGGAACCACTGCTTTAGGGAAGCAAAACCTGGACTTTGAAGAATCCAGGATGAGAGAAAGTATTGAAGCATGGTGTTGTCTTTTGAGAAGACCGTGGACAGGTGAGAAAATAAACAAAATGGATCATTGAACCAATCAATCCAGAGTTGAGGCACAAACGACCAGACTCAAATGATCATATTTTAGAAACATTAGGCAAAGAACAGGATTTCTTGAGAAATCTATAATGCTGGGAAATGAGGAACAAATGAAGTCGTATCTATGGGGTCATGTGGCCGGCGTGACTCAACGCCGAAGGCGCACGGAACGCTGTTACCATCCCACCAAAGGTGGTTCCTGTTTTTCTACTTGCATTTTTTACGGTGCTTTCGAACTGCTAGGTTGGCAGAAGCCGGGACAAGTAACGGGAGCTCCCTCCGTTACGTGGAGCTGGGGATTCGAACCGCCGAACTGCCGACCTTTCTGATCGACAAGCTCAGCGCTTTAGCCACTGAGCCACCGCATCCCCTAAATCCACATTAAAATCCACCGTATCAAAATGATCCGTGACGCAAAAGTGAAAATCTGGTACCAAAGATTTGCTCATGTTATGCCCTGACGGTGGGGAGGGAAGGAGGAGCAAAATTCTACTCATAGTTTGCTGATAGTGTAACATATTCTGAACCTATCGAGAAAAGAAGCATCTACTGATTCTGAGATGCAAATAAACATCATGTGGGCGAATCCTAGCTCTGCGCCACTCCTGGGTGTGATTTTGAAAGACTCCTGCCACTGCCATAAACCTTTTTTCCTTAATGTGCTGCTGTCCTGTGATCTTTATCTGAGCTTCAGCACATGGTTCATTAACTCAGTTCATTAATTTCCACTTGTTGGTTCCTTCTAAATTGGGTTTCCAACCAGCTGGTCTAGGCTTCAATAAATGTTCAACTCGCTTTGCAAGCAGGGCCATCAAAGTTATGGAAGAGTTTTGGGCGAGTCTGAGATTTCTCTTTTTTTTAAATATATATATATATATATATATATATATATATTCTTAACTAGGGCACCAGGAGAATGATTTGTGGCTCCAACCCGAGCCGAGGTTGCGCAAGAATAAATAAAAATAAGATGCAGACAGTTGTGGGAGAAGAAGAAATATTTATTCCTCAAAGTGAACAGTTTGCCTTTAGGGGCAGCTGCAGAGAAATGGGGGTACACAGGGACTGTTTTATGTCCTGGATGTGGAAGTGTCTACTGGCGGATTCCAGAGTAACACTTGAGGGGTGTATTTGTGTGTCTGTGTGTGTGTATAGGTTGGTAGGTCACCTTTGATGTTTATTCTTGTGAGCCTTTAAGTGTTGGGTTCTAAGAGCTGCTTGTGGTAGTTGTTGTGGCCCGCCGGTGGAGCTGGCAGCAGATTCGGACAGTGAGGAGGTTGGGGAGGAACCTGGGCCAGTCCTGGAGTCTGGGGA